TGTAGGGAAATCTTGAGTTAATCTTCGCTTAGTTGGTTAAAATGGATGGAACAAGGATTAAGTGGTTAATAGAGTAATCTTATTGTGAACCAAGGATAAAAGAGTTACAATCCGAACAAGGAGCCAACCTATTTTACTTGCTGTGTTACAATTATAACAAAAGTACTTCAACGGAAATCTCAACATGGAGCAGAAGATGTAAGTCGAGATTGTGTAGAAGGTTCCTTTTCTTCCTTTTTCCTTCTCCTCTTCTTGGTAGAATTTACAGAGGTAATGGAAGATTTGTGATTTTTGTTGGATTGCATGTTAATTTTGTTGTTAGATTCCATCTAAATGTTGATTTCTTTGATTGGGAAAGATGGGTTGATGAATGACTAGATTTTTTTTATTGTTCTTGAAGTTATTCAAAAGTAAATGTGATGATTTTGGATTGATGATGCATGTTGTATTTTGAGTTGATTTGGTGTTGTTTGTGGTGTATACATGTTGTATATGGTGTTGCATGTTTTTTGGATGGTTGGATTTCAAGTTTTAAGTCATTTGATGGTTCTGTTATATGTAGAAATGAACACCACGTCAGGCACACCTTCATTGTGCCGAGCATGGCTCAAGTTAGAGGCTCTTTACCCTGATCACATCAAGTGCAAGATTGGTAATGTTGAGCTTGGGTCAATGAGGAATCTTTTGACTTAGTCACGTCGGATGTGGAACGAGTGATATCGAGCGTGAGAAATCGAGAATTGTCTAACTTGGCAATGTTGAGCCCTAGAGGTGTGGTGCTTAACATGATCAATCTAGTGGATTATTTCCTAATTGATGTTGAATGTAGGTTGAGTGGTGTTGAGCATGAGTTAAGTAGAAACACTTTTTCTAATCAAGGTTGGCGTGGGTTTTACCACACCAAGCGCGAGAGACTCAAAGGTTTTCTACCTCACCCACATCAAATGCAAAAGGGTTGATGCCGAGTGCAAGTGAGACAAAAACCTCTCTGTCTCAACAACGTCAAACACACTTAGAATGGTGGCAAACATGATATGTTGAAAAGGAGGATGATGTTCTAAGTTGTTTAGATGTTGAAGTATGATAAATTGTTTATTTGAATGATGATATATGATGATGTTTAGTCTATGATGAGAAATGATAAAATTGATAGTATTTGAAGGATAGTCAGTGGGCTAATCTCAAAGATAGCTTACTGTTGTAAGCTAATGTTGTGATAGACACATATCTAAGTTATTTTATCCTGACAGTAGTACTAAACTTCCTAATTTAAATAGCCAAACCTGAGAAATCAATCTAATTGATGTTACCTGTTGTTTCTAGTTTTATACTAACTGTTATTATTATTTTTTTTTTATACCAACGGTTGTGATTTGGTAGAATCAAACTAATTAAACTGCTCATTTTTGTTTTAGTAGATCTTCATAGATGTACATGCGTGACGACGCATTAATTGTCAATTGTTAGTTATGTTGAATATGTTGTTAAGTTGAAGTTGTTAAGTTATCCTAAGATATAAGTTGTATGTGTTGTATGGTTGATGAGTTGAATCATTATTATCTTAAGTTGTCTATGTGGAATTGTTGGATGCTTGTTGTTGTACTTGTTTTTTTTTTCTTTTTCTTTTTACAAGCTTACCCTTCTTTTCCTTGTAATTGAAATTGTAATAATCAAACATGGTATAAGATTTGGGCAAAAATAACATGTTGACTTGTACAATTGATTAAGGATTATGCGATTGGTGGCCATTTTGGATATTCTAATTCTAATGTGACAAGATTACTATATAGACATTGATCAACGCTTAAGTTTATCTTGTATATTGTAACATATTTTTATGTATATAGTATATATCATAGCAACATTTAATTTTTATCATTGTTATTTAAAATGTTATGAATTAAAATTAGTAATTTTGGATTGTGTTAATTAAATTTAAAATTTTCGAAATAAGATTACATGTGCAATTTCTTTTATTATTGTTTATATTTATATTTAATTTCTAATTCAGTGATATCGGTAAATTTAGTCCGAAAAATTTCAAGCTTTAAAATAAATCGTGTATAAAATAACAGAGAATAAATATCTCCACGTACCTTCTATATTAGTATTTATTTTATAAGTCGAATACCATTTGAGATTATTTCTACTTTTACATATTAACAAATCATAATTTATTAATATTGCTAATATAATTAGTGATAAACATGAAATTACGCACAAATGAAATACGGCAGGTTTATACGATTCAAGTTCTTTTCTTTCAATTCTTATGTGATTGATTTCAATTCATTTTACTTTATACAGAAAATTATTTTTTGGGTTTATTTAATTTGGTATTTATATACCAAAGATTTTCGGCGTTTATACGCCAAAAATTTGTTTGAGAATTTCCTACTTTTATATACGTACCTACGAGTCAAAATTAATTATCGCAATTATCATTAAATAGAACTTAATTTTAATAAAATTTGACAAATAATATATATTTAGATTTTTGTATTTTTGAAATATTATCACATCAATTTTATTTAAGTTTTATGATTTACGAACTGTTGAGATTTTTTTTGGCGTTCCAATTTTTTATATATTAATTGATATTCTTTCTATTTTTACATACTAACAAAATATGTAACAAAAAAATGTAATAACAAAATAATTGATTGATATAATTATAGTAATTAATATTAAATAGGAAATAACATATCATCTCAAATCTCTCTCTCTCTCTCTCTCTCTCTCTCTCTCTCTCTCTCTCTCTCTCTCTCTCTCTCTCTCTCTCTCGTGTTTGTCCTGCACCTCTCTCTCTCTCTCTCTCTCTCGTGTTTGTCCTGCACCACTATATGTATATTACTATTTGGCTTAACTATCTTTGGTTTCTGTTCTCTTATTTTATTTTTGCAATGATCTTTATTTTTTTTTCTTCATATTACTCACTCATGTTACCATTTTAGTCTCTGTAAAATTGTAAATTTTTAATATAAATATCTTTTATGTTAAGAGATTTTCATTTTATTTTCTATATTTTAGAAAACATTGGGTGCTTTTTTCCTATTTTTTAACTCGTTTCAAAACCTTTTTATCCTTAAAAATATATACTTAATGCGAGTAAAAAAAATATATATCATTTTAAAAATTTTAACTTAATTTAATATTATTTTTCAATAAACTATAAATATTAATCATTTCTATGTAAATCAGAACAATTCTCTTAAATTATCGTTTATTATTTTAGGAATTATTTTTCAATGATATAAATTTAGTTATTTTTTTAAAATATAATATATTTTTTGACTTTTTTTTGTCTCTTTTAATTTATTGTTCATTTCTAAAATAATTTTTAATGTTTTATAAAAAAATATCAATAATTAAAAATAATTTTATATCACAATATAAATTATTTATCATCAAAATTAAAATATAATTTATATGATAAAAATATTTATCATAGATTTTAATTACAATATAATGTTTATATGTAAAAAATTTATTTATCTTAATTTTTATCATATAAAATTAATATGTGTATTGCACATGCTAAAAGGACTAATTTTATTTAAATTTTCTACCAATTGTAATCGTAAGAGGTGAAAAATCTAACATTTCTATGTTGGAAGAAAAGTTTTATTATGGTAAAAATATCATTTTTTTATTTATTAAAAAGTTCTATTATGATAAAAAAAAAGTAGTATAAAATACTACATTATTTTTATTAACTTATTTAATTTAATAAATAATTAAAGTTTTTAAGAGAGTTCTATTAAAATTATATATAAAATTCTTTAATTTTTAAAAACATAAAAATATTGTCTTAAAAAAAATGTATGAGTAAGCAAACAAATTTTATATGCGTGAAAAATTTTTGCTACTACTAATTGCACCCTTACGTGAATGTAATAGACTTGTGAATGGTGATAAGTACTTGGCTATATTTCATAGTAAAACAAGCAGCAATGTAAAACTATTTCAGGAAAAAATAAAATCAAGCATTAAGAAATATCAAATGGTTAAGCATCATTAGATTTATCATAGAAATGGTAGTTCACAATTTTGAAAAGCAAGTTTTAAAGGCATGTATCATGATTCACTTTTTCAATGTTGGTTATCCAACATGCCAGTTTCGTCGGTTGTATGCTTGTAGTTGAAGTGATGAATTTTTAAGTTTCAGCTAACATATTGAAGGTTGTCCCATTATACATGTTTGGAGGATTGTCTAATGGACTTGTTTTACAAGTGAATACATGCATATAGTTGAAATTTGGTTGTTCTATCTACCTGGGTTTGGTATACGGTATTGGTAGTACTAGCCACTAGGACAGTATAAATACGTCAAATTAAGCTACATATGTATTTGAATGTGAATGTAATTTCTTTTCTTTTTTTTTTTACAGTAAATATATGCCTCGAAAATGGTAGAATTTGACAGAGCATCAGCATAATGCTCTGATAGAAATCGAATCAAATAAGATAGCAACCTAAGATTGTGAATGTCTTAAAATTTCATCATCTGGTGTCTCATTTTCTTCATCGTCTCCATCAGATATCGATGAGTCATCGTCAGAATCCTGATTAGCAGAGGAACAATCATTTTTTAGTTGTGGTTGCATGTCACTCATAATTGGAGAATCAATCCATAGAAGTAATATCAAAATAATAAACACATGGAAATTTTAAAACCTGATGATGGTGACGCTTAATGTTGTTATGAATGGCCCCGATCGTCTTAATAACTATGAACATGGGTATAATGATTCCACTGGCCCTTAGTAAAAACACCTACAAAATACCAAAAGTTAATTCAATGATTCCCAATTCACATAGATATTTAATTTCCTTTTAGCTGAAAACTGGAAATCAAGTACATACCGTAAGAATTGTAAATGGATAATCTTCCATTCCCTCTGTAAGGACTGCAAAAAGATGTCTTACAAGCAAGATGAGTGTAAACTGCAAAAAACAAATGGCAACTAGTTATTTTAAGACATCTCAACACCACAACTGGCATTTTGGACTAAACTATTTTAGCTTTTAAAGCTTGATTAAATTAATTTTAATATTTGAAATGCAATACAACTCCCCAGTAGAAACATGACTCAATATATATATAATAGAGTAAAATCCACCTTCTTTGTTTTTAATTTGAAATGAATAATTTAAATACTTTATAGTTTATATTATTTTCTTACTAATCTTATTACTAACTAAATAAAAAAATATTAAATGTTTTTTATACTTTTAAAGTTTTAAATATATCTATTTTTTAATATTTTTTTATAAAACAATAAGAGAATTAATAAAAGTAAAAAGATTTTAAAAAGATACTAATACATTACTCATTTGAAGATACTAAAGGTCAAAGCAATATAGCTCTCAAAGCCGCGTGTAGAGGCATCCACATTAACAACAGAGCCGAATTCAGTTTTTTCATACATTCACACATTGGACAACTCATAGCAGTAAGGTGAAGATTGAACTATTCATGTTTTATCTAGATAAATCAGATTTAAAAATTAAGACACACCTTCAAAATTTGAGTGATTCAATTTTGATCCAGCAGTTATAATAAATGCATTGAATCCAGTTCAACACAAGTGACCAATTGAGTTGGCAGAAATTGCAATCTAGAGTTTTTGACTCGTTCAATTGAGTTGTCAAGTTTCAGACCTATTAATCATAATTTAACAAAAATATACATACACTATGAACCGGAATGCCAGTTTCAACACAACGCACATTGGCACATACACCCACACAACGGAACAAAAAAAACCTAAAAAGAGAAAAAAGTAGGACTGCCCAACCACACTCCCTTAATAACCCAAAAACGTAATGAGAAAACTAAAACACTTAATAAATAGCAATACATCATAATTTTTTTAAAAAAATATTTTTATATTTTAAATCTTTAACAAGTACTCTGAAAAAACTCAATTTATTAAAAAAAAAAAAAAGAAGGAAGAAGTAAACATAGATAATGCTTACAGCTAAAGCCAGGGATCGACAACAAGCAGCGCTTCTATCTGCAGCATACGTGCATTCAGAGTAATTGTTTCCTTCAACTATACTCACTATTCTTGTGTTTAACGGTTCTTGTTCAATCCTTGAAATTTGCAAGCTATCCCTGTAATACATGAGCAACAAAATGAGGCAAAGTATTTGTCATTTTTTCTAAAAACTTTTTTGCACAGCTAAAAGATAAAAAGTATGCCAAGTTAGGTTAGTCAAGGTGCCGCATTTTAGAATTGTGATATCCTAAGGCTAAATAATTAGTTTCAAGCTCACTTTGATTGAATTGCACGCGGAAAAGTTGAATCACTTTGAGACCCGTCGTAGTGTTAATTCAACATAAACATGTGACATATTCAACCATAAGAAATATATATGCATAGTGGGGGAATACCTAATGGTCATTGCTGCATCAGCTATTTGCGATTTCTTTGGTACTGTTGTATACCCGGGTTCATATTGCTGTAAAATCAAGAAGCATAAAATAAAAGAGAATTAATTCGTGCTCACCACATGTACCCATCTCCTATGAGTTGTGATATTTGAAGGGGACTCGTTGAATCAATATATAAACATTAAAAATAAAAATCATAGACCCAAATACGAAAGAAAAAAGGATCACACTTGACACACAACTGCTTCTTCTTCATACCTGGAGACAAATTTCACAAGTTGTATTTCCTTTCTCATTGCACCATGTCTGAATGCAATCTCTATGGGCAAACTGGAGAACAAAACTAAGATGATTATGGTTCGATTCTCGAAAGTAACGCAAACTGAGAAGAGGTTAAGAAAATCTTGATTATTTACCTTAACTGTTCCAGAACAAGCACAAGGAGCTTCCAAGGTTTTGGAGCTCTCAAATTCTTCTTCATGACATATTCTACAGCGAGAAATCCTAGAAAGTGATCTCAAATCATCAACCAGCAACACAACTTGTTCCATGTTTGATGCAACCAGAGAGCTCAATGTCTCTTAAAACTTGAGCCTTGGTTTTCAAATTCTGTTTTCTTCTCTCTCTAGAATCTCAACTTTATATATAAAATAAACAGCACTGAATTTCCAATACTGCCCTTGTATGATTGTTAAAATAAATAAATGTGTCAATATTGACATGACCTTTTCTTCCTTACATTTTCATTTAATTTTTATATGGAAAGAATGGTTCATGGGTAGCAAGCCTACATTCGGAGGAACCTAATCATAAATTAGGCAAAGAGAAACTTGCAATGCAGGGTCAACAAAACCTCGTTTTGGCTTCCTCCCACTCCCAAGGCTTCAAGCATTTAAGATGGTCAAAATTAAGACACAAAACATATAAGAACATTAATGTGTTCTAGAATTCCTTGCTTATATAAGTAGAACAAGTCATGGGCTACGGCAAATGGAACAATGTGTGACCCACAAGGGAAATGAGGAAGAAATCTTGCAGAGGATGAAGAACATGGAAGAGAGGGATCAACAGGGTAATCTGCGACAACAGACAAGCGAAGGGGCTCATACGAAGTATCAATGAAAGTCATCTCATACAATGTTAGGGGCCTAGGGAGGCGAGTAAAGTGGAGGTACATAAGGAAGGTGATCACTGATGAGCAGGCACAATTTATTTGTCTACAAGAGACAAAAATGGAGATAATAAGCAAATTAATGATACAAACTATATGGGGCGACTCGGAGGTTGAGTATGTCGAAGTTCCAGCAGTGCAAGCTGCGGGTGGTATGGTTGATTAAACTTATGGGTTGACTAAGCAATGAATGTAACAAGAGAACAAAGATTCATCAGTGTGAAGTTTGGTGATATCTGACCCCACAATCTTACAAAACCACAATACCATTTCTATGCCTTCCACACACACACAATTAGTTTTATAGTTTTAACATTCCATAGGTCATAACCTTTATTTGAATTGCATAACAATATATGAAAATGGAATTATTCTTTATTCACGAATAGTCAATAAATGCTTATTTTACCTACTAGTCCCTGTGCATACGATATAAATTTACTACTTGAACGGCCGGTATACTTGCAATGTTTGAGTCCGTTGTTAGGGTTAAAACGATTTAAGATAAGAACAAGGGTAATTTCAACGGAAATCTCAACAAGTTTTTGGCGTCGTTGCCGGGGACTAGTAAGGCAATTTAGTATTTATAGCTATTTGTGACTTGTTCCTTTACTGTTATTGTTATTTTTTATTTCAGCAATGAATTCTTTGAGCTGACTTGTGCACTCTAGTCTTTTGTTTTCTCTTGTATGCAAGGTACTATTCGAACTAGAGGGACCAATTCTTATGAGCCGCTGTTGAACGATCCTAAGATTTAACGCATGACAAGGAGGGATAATAGCAACAGGAAGAGAAGGAGAAATAGAGCAAATCCAGTTGGCCAACCAACCACTCATATTCCTGAAGCTTTTGTCTCTGTTATTCCTGAGTTCACTATGGAAGGTGGAGGTGAAGGTGGTGCTCACAATGACAATCCGAATCAGAGGCACACTATAGGTGATGCTTTCACCTACACTAGCCCGAGGGAATTCTCTAGCATCATGAGGCCCACAATGAATGAGAGACTAGTAGAAATGAAGCCCGCACTCCTACAGCTCATTAGCTCTCATCAATTTTCTGGCCTGGATCATGAAGACCCACATACTCATCTCTACACTTTCTATGAGTTGTGTGGTTTAGTTGGAGTTTCAGGGGCTGATGAAGAGGCATTGTTTATGAGGTTGTTCCGTTCTCCCTAAATGGGAATTCTAAGGCTTGGCTTCATTCTCAGCCAAACCAAAGCCTAACCACTTGGGGGAATGTGGAGACTAAATTCTTAGCCAGGTTCTTTCCCCTTCCAAGAACACTGAGGCCAGAACTGCTATTGCTACCTTTGCTCAAGGTGCGAATGAGCCATTATGTGAAGCATGGGAGAGGTACAAATCACTGTTGAGGAGATGCCCTAATCATGGTTTTGAGGTGGACCTGCAAGTTCAAACTTTCTATAATGGGTTACAACCTCAAACCAAGATGATACTAGATGCTTCTTTTGGAGGGTCAGTTATGTTTAGAACCGCCGAAGAGGCTATCACCATCATTGAGTCCATGGCCTCCACAGATTTCAGGAGTCAACATGGCAGAAGCTCTTCACGCAAGAGGGGAGTTTTGGATTTGAGTACTCAAGATTCAGTGTTAGCTCAAAACAAGTTACTTTCTCAACAAATTGAAGCATTGAATCAACAGATGGCTAAGTTACCTCAACAACTTCAAGCTATGCAAGCTAATACCCCTCCTATTCAACAAGCGTTATCATGTGATTTTTGTGGAGTTGACCACCCTAATGGTTATTGTGCCGAACCACCTAGTTCCCAAGGTGAAGAAGTTAATTATATGGGGAATCAAAGGCGGCAAAATTTCTCTCAACACCCATATCCCCAAAATTATCCTCAAAACTCAAATCAGGTATGGAGAAATAATTATGGTGGAAACAAGTAGGATATGAATGCTTCATCAAGTAGCAGGCCTCAACACCAACACCAACACCCACTTTATATGAGAGAACCACCAAGTTGGAAGACACACTGCAACAATTCATGCAATTGTCTATGTCCAACCAAAAGAACATTGATGGTTCAATTAAAAATCTTGAGATACAAGTGGGGCAAATAGAAAAGTAGCTAGCAGAGCAGCAAAAATGTTCTTTCTCAACCAACATCGAACAAAACCCGAAGGGGGACTTGAATGTATTATCTACAAGGAGTGGCAGGGAATTTTTGGTGAAAGAGAGTGAGAAGAAGAATGAGGGAGAAGAAAAGAATGACATGGGTGTGGAAGATGATGCTAGTGTTGATGAAGAGATCATCTTAGAGGGCCCTGGAGTATGGAGAAGGAGTGAAGGAAGTGATTTGGTTGAAGAGAATAAAATGAAAAGAGAAAATGAAAAAAAGAGTGAGAAAAAGAAAGAAATCGAAAAAGAGAAAGAAGGAGTTAGTGGAGAGAAGAAGAAATCACCCATGGAGGAGAGGAGTATTGTAAAGGTGCCACCCACCAAGAGTCTTCCATATCCTCATGCCCCTTCAAGAAGAGATAAGGAGAGGCAATATGCTTGGTTCTTGGAGAATTTCAAGACCTTGCAGATTAACATTCCGTTCTCTGAGGCATTAGAACAAATGCTACTTATGCCAAGTTCATGAAGGAACTCCTCACCAAAAAGAGGAAATATTTTGAAGAGGAGACCATTAAATTGGAGGCGGGATGTAGTGTCATTATTCAGAAGATGTTTCCAACTAAATCCAAGGATCCTGGTAGTTTCACTCTTCCAGTCACTATTGGGAGTTTAGCTATTGGGAAGGCTTTGCTTGATTTGGGGGCTAGCATCAATCTGATGCCCTTATCTATGCTTTAGAGGATTGGTGATTTGGAGGTGAAGCCCACTTGCATGACCCTGTAGTTGGCTGATCGATCGATAAAATATCCTCATGGCATAGTTGAGGATGTTCTGGTGAAGGTGGACCATTTCTTATTTCCCGCTGATTTTATGGTGATGGATATTGAAGAAGACATTGATGTACCTTTCATTCTTGGCTGATAATTTATGAAAACCGCAAGACTTCTGATTGATGTGGATGATGGGAAGCTTAAGGTGAGAGTGAATGATGAAGAAGTCAACTTTGATGTTTTTGATGCCATGCACTATCCCAAGGACAAGAGCAGTTGTTTCCGGGTCGATGTAATTGATGGCCTTGTTGAAGATACCAGGAAGCATGTCTCTTTTTCTACTCCTTTGGAGAAAGTCTTAATCAATGTGGTAGAGTACCTCCATGAAGAAGAAGATAGAGAGATTGAGGCATGTTTGAAAAGCCTTGACTCATATAAGGAGGTGACACCTAATTATGTGCGTATAGAAGATTTGAAGGAGGAATGGGAGGTGAATACCCCTAAGCTTGAATTAAAAATACTTCCTTCTCATCTCAAATATGTATTTCTAGAAGAAGGTGGAAGCAAACCGGTCATCATAAGTAGTTCCTTATCCACATTGGAGGAGGAAAGTCTTGTGAAAGTATTGAAGTTCTATCAAGGGGAAATTGGTTGGTCTATTTCTGATCTCAAGGGAATTAGCCCAGCTTATTGCAATAAATAAAATATCTTTTGCTGCTTCAAAAAAAAAAAAATAATAAAGAAGAATATTGCTAAATATTACGAATTTTTTACGAAAACTGTAGCCTATAGTCGTCGCTCATTTCAACCAAATATATTTACATTTTTTTATAACATATTATTTAACTAATAACAATAACCCTTTGCAATTTTATCATTATCGAGTGAACAAGACAAAAACAACTCATATCATTTTTTTTCTATCTCAAATATTTGCAATTTATTAGATTAAAGATTAATTAGTTTGCAACAATATAATTAATAGTATTATCGACCTGAAAATTTTTGCATATAAAAAAATTAAACACGAGATTTTTTTATTAAACAAACGGTTTTTATTATATGTTATCTAATTACTACGCGAATGGATCACTTAATTCATACAATATTCGAATGATAATAAATATTTTTATTGAACTTTAGGTTACCTATTATCCTTTTCTTAAAAGAGGACGGATGAAAAGACGGAAGTAATTTATTTAACACATAAATCCACTGGTACTTTATAACAAACAAAATTGTTTTTCTAGACACATGAAGTGACACGAATTTCATAAAATCTTGTTAGCCTGGTGATCTATTGCCATTGGCTGAGTGCGTTTTGGGAGGGTAAAAAGTAAAAAACTACCGGTGTCTCTGTGAATTTTTTTCTGGAATATATTTTTTTAAAAAACTAACTTTCAAAATGGACCCCCACTTTATATTTATTGAACTAGACCTAAATACTGTTGAGATTCAAAATTGATGTTTGAGGAGCCAAATTCTAACCTAAAACAGTAGTTACCGACATGATTTGGTTGTCAGAATTTAGTTTCCGAAATCCGAATTTCGACCAGCCATTTCTATTTTTTTTTTATGTTTTA